AGACTTTTACTTTGATACTCGTGTTTTCATGTTAATACTTATGTGCTTTTACTGAAAGAAAATGTCGCCTGTGTGACTTTTTCTTGTGTCAGAGGACTTCTTCTCTGTTATCACGTCTTTGACTTCAATAAAGAGTAAAAACAATGAACTAATGACAAACGCTTCTTATTAGTAAAAAGTTTGAGAGACTCACAGTAACATTCAGTTTCAGTTAGAAACAGCTGAGGTCATGAAATCTCCATCATTAAATAAAACACTGAATGAAACTGAATAAATAGTTTTTTATTATTTTCAAAGTAACTGATAATATTTTTTACTATCTACAAATAAAGTTTTATTATATACAAATAAAGTGTATTATCTTTATTATTATTATTATTATTATTTTTTGTTATGATTATCATCTTTATTATTATTATTATTGTTATTATTATTAATTATTATCATTGTTATTATTATTATCATTATCATCATTATTACTAGTCTTTTTATCATCATGATCATCTCTACATGTTCAGTCTTGCTGGTGAATAAATCAGTAGAATTGACACTTTCTCTTTTCTGTTCATCACCTCAGTGGTTCCACTGTATTTAAAGAACTGGATCACTTCTCAGCTGAAACCATATTAATATCAAATACAACTGAAGCTCGTCCTGTCTCTAGTTGGATCAATATATTTGTTGGTATCACGAGTGTTTGTTTCCTCGACATATGAACAAACAGCAGCGACCTGACGCTGCATCAGAGGGATCAGTTCTCTACACACTGACTGGGACTTTGTGCTGTTGTTATCTGTGTGTGGCGAGTCCGTCTGCAGAGACACACAGCATCAAACCACTTCCTGGACTGAGTCAAAGCCTGATGCCCCTCCCTCTTCTTCCTGCTCTCAAACACAGCCAGCTCCACTCTGTTCATGTGTTTCCTTGTTCCCTCCCTTCAGATCTACAGTTTGAAGATGGGTGGAGCCAACATGTGGTGAAGTGCGAGAGCTGACAGGCCCCGTTCACTGCAGAGACACATGTTGTTTAGATCAGAGCTCAAACTAGTTTCAGTTCTGAGGAAGTGAAACTCAGACAGTCGTTGTCACCGAGAGCTGAAATGGCACAGAAAGGAGATCAGCTGGAAATCTTGTCTTGTTCCATCTGTCTGGATCTACTGAAGGATCCGGTGGCTGTTCCCTGTGGACACAGCTACTGCATGAACTGTATTAAAAGCTTCTGGGATGAAGAGGATGAGAAGAGAATCCACAGCTGCCCTCAGTGTAGGCAGACCTTCACACCGAGGCCTGTCCTGGGGAAAAACACCATGTTAGCAGCTTTAGTGGAGCAGCTGAAGAAGACTGGACTCCAAGCTGCTGCTGCTGATCACTGCTATGCTGGACCTGAAGACGTGGCCTGTGATGTCTGCACTGGGAGGAAACTGAAAGCTGTTAAATCCTGTCTGGTTTGTCTGGTCTCTTACTGTGAGAATCACCTGCAGCCTCATCATGATGTAGCTCAGTTAAAGAAACACAAGCTGGTGGAGCCCTCCGAGAAGCTCCAGCAGAACATCTGCTCTCGTCACGATGAGGTGATGAAGATGTTCTGCCGCACCGATCAGCAGTGTATCTGTTATCTCTGCTCTGTGGATGAACATAAAGGCCACGACACAGTCTCAGCTGCAGCAGAAAGGACTGAGAGGCAGAGAGAGCTCCAGCTGAGGCGACAAGAGATCCAGCAGAGAATCCAGGACAGACAGAAAGATGTGAAGCTGCTTCAACAGGAGGTGGAGGCTCTCAACGGCTCTGCTGATGAAGCAGTGGAGGACAGCGAGAAGATCTTCACTGAGCTGATCCGTCTCATGGAGAAAAGACGCTCTGATGTGAAGCAGCAGATCAGATCCCAGCAGGAAACTGAAGCCGGTCGAGTCAAAGAGCTTCAGGAGAAGCTGCAGCAGGAGATCGCTGAGCTGAAGAGGAAAGACGCTGAGCTGAAGCAGCTCTCACACACAGAGGATCACAACCACTTTCTACACAACTACCCCTCACTGTCACCACTCAGTGACTCTACAGACTCATCCGCCATCAATGTCCGTCCTCTGAGACACTTTGAGGACGTGACAGCAGCTGTGTCACAGCTCAGAGAGAAACTACAGGACGTCCTGACAGAGACATGGACAAACATCTCACTGACACTGACTGAAGTGGATGTTTTACTGTCACAACCAGAGCCCAAGACCAGAGCTGACTTCTTAAGATATTCACAGGAAATCACACTGGATCCAAACACAGCAAATACATGTCTGTTATTATCTGAGGGAAACAGAAAAGCAACAGTAATGAGTCAACAACAGTCTTATCCTCGTCATCCAGACAGATTCACTTCATATCCTCAGGTCCTGAGTAGAGAGAGTCTGACTGGACGTTGTTACTGGGAGGTGGAGTGGAGAGGAGGAGGAGTTTTTGTATCAGTCTCATACAAGAATATCAGCAGAGCAGGGAGGGGGAAACTTTATTTGGATATAATGACAAATCTTGGTCGTTATATTGTGATCAAAACAGTTTTTCATTTAGATTCAACAACATCATCACTCCAGTCTCAGGTCCTCTGTCCTCCAGAGTAGGAGTGTACCTGGATCACACAGCAGGTGTTCTGTCCTTCTACAGCGTCTCTGAAACCATGACTCTCCTCCACAGAGTCCAGACCACATTCCCTCAGCCTCTCTATGCTGGACTCTGTCTTTACTGGGGTGTTGGAGACACAGCTGAGTTTTATAAGCTCACATAGATAAAAGTCCAGATTTGTATTTGGTTCCTAAAGTTATTGTGTCTCCATCATTGTTGCTAAGAGCTGGTTGTTGTGTTGTTTGTTGAATCCTGATGTATTATTCCAGGTGAGATCAGGTCCATGTAAGTCATTCAAATGAGTCTCATCTTCACCTGCTGCAACATGAAAGTTGTTTCACATTAAAACATCAATGATCACAATCCAGTCGTATGATTTACATTATTCTGAAGGGAGACTTTTACTTTGATACTCCACGTGTTTCTGTTTTTTCAGAACACACACACCACACACACACACACACACACACACACACACACACAACACACACACACACACACACAACACAACACACAGACAGACACACACAGACAGACCACAGACACACAACACACATACACAACACACACACACACACACACACAACATACACACACACACACACACAACACACACAGACACACACACCACACAACACACACACACACACAACATATGCACACACACACACACACATACACACACACACACACACACATACACACACACACAGACACACACAGACACACACACACACATACACACACACAGACAGACACAGACACACAGACAGACACACACACACACACAGAGTCTGATAAACCATTGTCCATCTTTATAATAACAAGCTACATTTTTAATTACAGATAATTACTGTCATTTTACACAGATTTGTTTGTAATTTAAAAAGCAGAAAAATACTGTTTAAATAAAACAGTAATTTGTCTTTATAGAAATGGGAAATAGATGTAATTTATTATTATTGGCATAATGATTAAAGGAGAAGTTTGGCTGTTAATTCACATCATTTCTGTCATTTTACAGACTTTTGTTCACAATATTAAAAAACAGGAAATTACTGTTAGAAAACTTAGTTATTTTCTCTAAATTAGGACTTTTTTTTTTACAGTTTTTACAGCAGGGGCTGGCAGTTGACTGGAAACAAAGTTGGATGATCAAAGGAAAGAGACACAAGAAGACAGGAAATCATTGTCTCTGATGTCCCTTCAGAATAAAGCTCCAGAAATCCAGGAAAAAACAGGCTGCAGAACTTCATTGAGAATTCTCCTGTTTGTAAGTTTCCTTCAGTATCACAGTGATCCAGTGAGAGGTGTCTGAACATCATGATACACTGCAGACAGGAGCTGATCACAGCTGATCACCCTGATCACAGCTGATCACAGCTGATCACCCTGATCACCGCTGATCACCCTGATCACAGCTGATCACAGCTGATCACAGCTGATCACCCTGATCACCCTGATCACCGCTGATCACCCTGATCACAGCTGATCACAGCTGATCACCCTGATCACCGCTGATTCAGCTGCTGGTTATGAGATAGTTTGAATGGAAACAAGTATAAAATACTGCGCTCAAGTTGCAGCTGACAGTTAACTCACTGACTCCATGGCAACGTACTTCAGACACATTTCCGTGCTGACAGTAAATACACACTGATGCACCATACTGTAGATGAGGCCACCAGAGGGCGCTGACGAGTTGATAATGTCCCAACAACACAGATCTCATTCACTATTCTTTCAGAAAAACATTTCAGGATCATTATCAAAAAAGTTTGTCTCTAAAATGTTGTTACAGCTCCTCAAAAATCCAGCAGCAGCCGAACTCCAGAAACCAGTAACTCCAGCCGTCATGAATGAAGACCAGTAAGAAGGAAATCATTAAGTTAAACACAAGTATCTTTACACTGTGCTGAGGACTGGAGTAAATGTACTTAGTTACTTTCCACCTCAGCTACAAGCTGATCCTTTCATCACTGATCAATTGATTGATTTTGGCCTGAAGATGATGACGTTACTCAGAAATAAAAGCCAGAGTGCAGAGTAGTTCAGCTTGGTTTATTAAGAGAAGATCACACAGTCACACCTGCTGTACCTGCATTCAAGCAGTTTACTCCTCCTCAGGCTAATGCTGATTGGTTAATTAAATTATTTAAAGGTCCCATATTTTACCCTTGTGGTTTATTGTCATTAGTGTGTATTGTAACTTTATTGTTATTTTTTCCTCTTCTCCTGTGTTTTATTTTGAAGTGATGATCTATAAGAAGATATATTTGTGGTTCATCTCAGTGTAGTTTTACATCTCCTCTCTCAGGCTTCTCTCTGCAGTTCTAGTAACAACAGGTCGGTGAGCCAATCAGAAGAGAGGAGGCTCTGAGCCTCAGTCCTTGCTGATGGTTTATCTCTTTTATCTGCGTTTATTCATTGTAATCCTCATTTTCTTTCATTGTTAATAATCCTTCATACAGTTATAAACAATTCCAGTGGTTTGTAATTAACAGTGTTCAAAATAAACAGCAGCGCTCAGTTCTCCGTCTCGTCCTCTTCTTCTCTCTTTATTGACGGCAGGCTGCTGTAGGTCTGGGTCCAGTAGGTGACGTACTGTGATCTCAGGTCGTAGCTGAAGAGACCAGATGAGTCGAATCACAGTAGAAACAGAGGAGAATGGTTGAGTATAGCACAGTACAGCAGGCAGCTAGTAGAACACAGTAGAACACTGTAGAACACAGTAGAACTCAGGTACCTGATGGAAGACTTGTTGATCTTGTGGTTGATGCTCAGGTAGGGTTGGTGGTGTCTGGTGAAGGGGGGCCAGGGAACTGGGACTCTGTCACCTCTGTTGGGATCACTGGACAGGAAGAGGAGAGACAGAGCTGGGACCAGGTTCAGACCGGTTCAGACCGGTTCAAACTACTTGACACTAGTTCAGACTAGTTGAGATCAGATCAGACTACTTCAGAAGAGACTAGTTCAGACCAGTTACTACCTGCAGAGGACAAAGACACTGCTTTATAACCAAACTGAGGAGAAGTCTTGTTTGGATCAGTGGAGCAGTAAAGACCAGGACAGAGCAGTCACAGGTAGCCAGGTGTGTTGACCTGTGTGTGTGTGTGTGCGTGTGTGCAGTGCATGCGGGGCCTTTACCCGGTCTTGGCGAAGTTGGTCCAGTATGCAATCATGTACCGGGACAGGTCTCGGTGTCGGGGGAAGTAGACCAGTGGGGTGGTGAAGGGTTTACCAAACAGGTACTGCAGGTCCTCGGCGTGCTCCGCCTCCACCCAGCGAGGGAACCCTGGGATACGAGTCTTCATGTTGAACAGGTAGGAGTAGGTACGGGCTCCACTGAGGGACAAACAACAGGAAAACCAGAGTTGAATTCTGGTTTTTAAATATGAACTGGACAAAGGTTCAAACTCAGGTCTAGAAGCAGGAGCCTCAGAATTCACCGTGTATGTTTCTATAAAGCAGGAAGTTGATTTTCAGATGTGACTTGTGGCACAGAGCAGAGTGTGGTCCAGACCAAACTATCTTCTGATTAGAGTGTTGGCTAATGTGCTAGCTAGTCATGTGACTCCATAGAACAAACAGCAGAGGTTGTCAGTGTTTTTAACAAGCTATCGCTACATTAACACCTGAGATGGGGGGTCTGCAGCCCCCCTGTGAAACTGGTGCTCTAAACAAAATGATATTACATGACCACAGCAGCAAATGAGCTTCTTTATACTATTTTGTCCAAGATACATGTGATTATATATATAATGGAGAGATGGGGCAAAAACTGGAGGTCACCAGAGGTCAGATACAAACTGCCTCCACATCTGAAATAAAACCTCGGTGTGAAGATTATCTGCTGAAACGTTCATGTTTTAGTCATAAGATGCAGAGCTGGTTTGTCGGTGTACCAGCAGCTCATAATCACCTCAGTGACAGAACAGCAGCAGCTGATCTGGAGCTCTCACTCAGTGGTTTGCTCCGTCAAGATAAAACTGTGAAACTTCCATTTTAGAAGTTTAGATTAAAATTTCATTCTTGTCAAAGGAGAGAAAAACAAATAATTTGCCGAGGAGGACCATCTGATATGACTGAAAGCTCTGATACTGTGTACCCCCCTTTACTAGTTCAGTCATTTTATTAATTGCTACATGCACTACTCTGTCTAATTGTCCTTATTTATATTGACGTGTAGTGTATGTCTCCCCTCTTTAACTTGGACTTTGTCAACTCTGTTTGAAGGTGTAATATAAATAATGTTATTATTATTACTTTTGCCAGTGTTTCTTCTGGTCAGATGTTTAAGTGGATTTTTGTTGTCCTGATATTTACTGTGGGCAGTGCTAATAACGTTCAATCTATTACAATGAATTATAATTTACCACTCTGGGAGTAAACAGTGATGTTTCAGCTTCTTTTCTCACATTCAAAACAAAAACAGACTCTGACCACCACGATCCTTCCACCTGGATCTTCCACCAATCAGATCTGACCTGGTATTGTTGGCATGGAGCTGGAGGGCGATCTGAGTCGGGACCAGGAACAGGAAGTCTGTCTCGATGTCGGCCACCGTCTTCTTCACCACCGCCTGCTCCGGAAACGACCCCCAGTTAGACGAGTAAACGCTGTAGGCCGAGTCGACGGCAGCGTTCCCCTTCTCTTTAGTCAGACCGGCCAGCAGACCCTTCACATGCTTCCTGAGGAGAAGACAGGAGATCAACCAGAAAGTCTTCACAGCTCCTGTCTTTGCTTCATTGGAGCAGAAACTACAATCAACAACTTTTTTTGATTCAGTTGAACAAACATTTGAGTTGTCCACACAGTGACGTCACAGCTGGAATCATCAGGATCAAGCTGCATAGAGTGAGGTGTCATCTGCATATTGACGAAACTTAATATTGACTTCAGTATACGGTAACACATAAAGACTTGTGTCCCAATTCAGGGGCCACATCCTTGGGAGGACGTGGTCTCCGAAGGTGTGGCCCTTCGTAGTCGATCTCCACATTGGATCCTTGGTTGCCCAGGAAAAGAAGGTCGTGTTTGTCGGTCGCATTTGAAGGAGCCTCTGAAATGGGACAGTCTATTCGCGCTGCTGTGAAGTAATCCTCCGAAGGATGTGGCTCCTGAATTGGGACACAGCTCTTGAGTCGAGCCTTGTTGGACTCCACCTGAATTATGGCAGTGGAATCACCGGCTAAAATATTATATTCTCTACTTATTGTGCATTGCATGATGTTAAATCTGTATCTATGATGACATGAAAATTTGACATTGTTTAAATTGTAATTATCTCGGTTCATCTTTTATTGAGAACTCTCTTTGAACCTGGTTCTTCTGGTCCTTTGCAGATTTTTACTTCAAAATAAAAGTCTCCAAAGCAGGCTGATAGTGCCGTGGTGCTTCTGTACTCACACAGGGGTGGTGGAAGTTTTGTTGTTGATTGAAGGAACGTCGACTCCGGCAAAAATGTGTCCGTCCATGCTGTTGACTCCAGCCATGTAATCAAACTGAGCGGTGTTGTGGAACAGCCGGCTGGGTTCATCTGGAATAAAATCACCATCGACCACTGGAGCGAGTTCAAGGAGATCCATGACCACACCTACCGAGAGGACGGACACAGAGACAGTTTGACTACAGTTTCAATGTCTCTACTCTTACGAAAGCAAGTGGTTGAGATCCCTCTGGTCACCTTTCTTAGCTTTTCCTGCTCACTCTCCATATACTCCATATGGTTTTTATGCCTCCGCACCGGTGACAGTCAGAGCGGCAGCCATTTTGTTTTTGGGTTGTCCACCTGACCTGTCTGTCTTTCATTTAATTGTATTTTACATCTTGTTGCTATTTGTCAACCTTGTTATCTGGATTTCACCTTCTGAATTTTGAAGTGTTATTATATATATATGGTTTTTTTTGTTGTTTTTTGTTTTCTATGTACTTGGGAAGTTTTCTTCCGTATTAAACTGTTGCTGATTGTTAGTGCTGATCCCACTGAGAATCAACAGCCAACATTTGAAACACACCGTTCCTGTCTGTTTGTTTTGGGTCTAAATTCTGAGCTCAGCAGCTGCTTTACGTTACGAGTTGTGTGTCAGTCGATGCAGATGTGCAGATGGACCTTTTCCAAGAATAAGCAGCACATCGATTTTTCCCGCCATGGTGAGACCAACCGGGTCGCTCATCTTCAGACACGTTAACATCTCGTCCTGGTTACTTCTCCAGCAGCCGACCTTACGGGCGATCTGCAGAAACAAACCCGGTCCACGTCAGTCGTCTACAGTCCATCGACAAGATCAACGAGATGATTCATGAAGAATTTTACTCCATGACACACACGTGTATTTTTACTCCATATGTGACGAAGATCAATGAACAGAATCAATAACCGAGCTGTATTTTACGAAACGTCAGAGGTAAAGTTTGATGCAGTGTGTGTGTGTGTGTGTGTGTGTGTGTGTGTGTTTGTGTTTGTGTTTGTGGACCTTCTTGGTCAGAGCCATGGGTTTGGTCTGTAGAGCCCAGGGACTGAGAGCCACACCACACTGAGTGATCGCTCTGCGGAACAAGCCTTTACTGTGGGGAGACAGCATCTGAGAGAGAGACAGAGAGAGAGAGAGAGACAGAGAGAGAGACAGAGAGAGAGAGAGACAGAGAGAGAGAGAGAGACAGAGAGACAGAGAGAGAGACAGAGAGAGAGAGAGACAGAGAGAGAGAGAGACAGAGAGGGAGAGACAGAGAGGGAGAGAGACAGAGAGGGAGAGAGAGAGGGAGGGAGAGACAGAGAGGGAGAGAGAGAGGGAGAGAGAGAGGGAGAGATTTACTAAAACATAACTTTGATTTACAAAGTCGAGATTTTGACATTAAAAGTCAGAATTATTTGCCTTTCCATCCACTGACACCAGGAAACTGACTTTAACATAGATTTAATTTCAGGAATGACACAGTTTGACTTCGTAAATCTTACAATTTTGAATTTGATTTCAAAATTTTGACAGAAAAATGCATAAATTTTACCTACAATAAGTATCTGTGTCATTTCCAACATTAAATCTTTGTTATTCTTTTCCAGGAATAAACTCTCGTCCATGTGTGCTACATAATTTAAGCTTAATGTTTGAATGATTTAGTAAATCTTAATGAGTCAATTGTTTTTACTCTTAATTTTGTAAATTAAAAAAGCACTTTCAAATGTCAAATGTCAGGTTTCATAGTTTAGCCTTTAGCCTTTAGCTTCTCTATGACTCGTGTGTTCGTCTTAGTTTTAGCTTTAATTCGTCACTGAGTGTCAGTGACGGCAGCTCAGGTGAACGCTCACAGATGTCTTTAACCTCTGACCTGGAAGCTGACACTGGCGGCTCCGGCTGATTGGCCAAAGATGGTGATGTTGTCAGGGTTTCCTCCGAACACCTCGATGTTCCTGCGGACCCAGGAGATGGCAGCGTGCTGATCCCACAGTCCATAGTTACCTGAGAGGCAGCAGGAGTCACCTGATCACTGTTTCCTGTCTTAGCCTGAGATAAAGTCTGACGTGGTTGGTTGGTTGGTTGGTTGGTTGGTTGATTGGTTGGTCATTTGGTTGGTTGGTTGGTTGGTTGATTGATTGATTGATTGATTGATTGATTGATTGATTGGGCGTTTGGTTGGTTGGTTGGTTATTTGATTGGTTGGTTGGTTGGTTGGTTGGTTGGTTGGTTGGTTGGTTGGTTGGTTGGTTGGTTGGTTGGTTGGTTGGTTGGTTGGTTGGTCATTTGGTTGGTTGGTTGGTTGGTCGGTTTGTTGGTTGGTTGTTTGGTTTGTTGGTTGTGTTTTCTCCTCACTGGGAGAACAACTCTGTTTAAATGGGAGGAGCCACAGCCACTATAGTATAGTTAATGTACCAACATGCAACTGTGTGGGAACAGGAGGTCATATGAGGATCAATGTGTGCAAATTGTGCGATAACAGGAAGTACAGGTGGCCTCACCCAGTCCCTCGAGAGACTGTAGTGGAAACTGTTCTCTAAGTGTGATGGTATAAATACTGGAGTTGTTCTGGTCTGTTCAGTTGAAACTCATTTGAATCCACAAGTCGCAGTTTCAGTCTCTTCTTTAAGACACCTCCGGGGACAGGACACCACACTGGCAGTGAAGACAGACTGATGTGTCTCAAGTCCCGTGCTTCCAGACTCACAGTGAGTGTGTCCACACTGACAGGTACAGCACTGTGAGAACCCAGATGGTTCAAAATGGTCAAAAAATTGAGTGTAGGGGCGTCGTGTAGCGTAGTGGTTTAAGCAGGCGCCCCATGTGTAGAGGCTACAGTCCTCGCTGCAGTCGGCCCCGGTTCGAATCCCGCATCGGACGGCCTTTCACTGCATGTCATTCCCCCTCTCTCTGCCTCCCCGTTTCCTGTCACTCTCCACTGTGCTGTCCATTAAAGGCATAAAAGCCCAAAAAAAAATATCCTAAAAAAAAAAAAAAATTGAGTGTAAAACGATAGACACTCACCCTCAACAGCTGCCATCTTGGCTACATAGTGAGGAACCACCAGTGTATTTTCGAACTTGTGGGAATGGTGGCTGAGGAAGAAGAACATGATGTCGTCTGCACAGGCTGCGGTTTAGTTTCCATGTTTCCAGGAATCTTGGAGGGCACATGTTGCAGTCGTTATTTCCGGTTTATGTACAACAGCAGTGTTTGAACAGAGATAACACCAGCTCACACATTGTACTGTGTCCTGTGTAAACACTGTAGTACATGTACTGACTGCTGTATATGATCCGAGTCTCAGCATTAGAATGCTGCATAAACAGCAGCTGACGAAATGTTTTATTTTGAAGGAAACATGATGAACACAACAACAGACTCTTCAGATTGCTTGGTCTGTGGATGACTCGCTGTTCCAGGTCCAAGATGAGAGATTTTGATGTTGTGGTCATGAAGCAACGATCTACAACAACCTGAAGCTCCTCCCAGCTGACACCTGAACCACACCTGTAGTCCTCAGCGTCTGTCCCCACAATATTAAACTGAGTCAAACGAGTGGAAACAGATTGAGATCCAGATGAGTGGATTCTGTCCAGCTCCTCACATCTGAGGAGCTTTTAGCAGCTGAGCTAACAGCCAGTTTATCTGCTAACATACTGATAACACAACACACACAGCGACCACGCGCCTCTGATAACAGGCATGCTGGGAAATCACCAGCAGGCACCAAAACACACCAGTTCAATCCCAGTCTGACTCTGAGCCCAGAGGATTTAACTCAGCATCATGTACAACTCACAACTCAGTCAACCAGAGCTAACTAATGTCAGCCAGGTCAGAAATATGTGGACACCAAATTCACTCACCATGAATGTGAACATGACGTGCTGCTAATGTCAACGCTCGACCTGAGGACCATCAGAGTCCATTACACTAGACTCACCTGTTCACCTGCTGACCTTTTAACCTGCTCTGGACCTTTTACACCAGTTCTGGACCTGTCCCAGTTCTGGACCTGTCCCAGATCTCAGAGTCCAGGACTAACATATGTTAAACCATACGTACCCTGCTGGTTACACACCTTGTTGTTATGAAATGGAAGCAAAGAAGAAGAAGAAGACTGGATCATAGAGGTACTGACCGTATCAAGCTGGAGAAAATGAGATGTGAAATGACCCATCTGTTTGTTTGTTTGTTTGTTTGTTTGGTTGGTTGGTTGTTTGGGTGGTTGTTTGGTTGGTTGGTTGTTTGGGTGGTTGTTTGGTTGGTTGGTTGTTTGGGTGGTTGTTTGGTTGGTTGGTTGTTTGGGTGGTTGTTTGGTTGGTTGGTTGTTTGGGTGGTTGTTTGGTTGGTTGGTTGTTTGGGTGGTTGTTTGGTTGGTTGGTTGTTTGGGTGGTTGTTTGGTTGGTTGGTTGTTTGGGTGGTTGTTTGGTTGGTTGGTTGTTTGGGTGGTTGTTTGGTTGGTTGGTTGTTTGTTTGTTTGGTTGTTTGTTTGGTTGGTTGGTTGGTTGTTTGGTTGTTTGTTTGTTTGTTTGTTTGTGGTCTTGTTGAGGTCTTTCAGTGGGGTTGTACTGGATGAGTGGATGGCTGTTATAATTGTTGTTGTTTTGTTCAGACCTGGCAGTCGGGCGTCTCCGGTGCTGAGGAAACCCAGCGTACCGACTCGGTAGTTCACCGTGACGACGATGACCCCGCCTCTGTCGGCCATCTCCTTCCCATCGTACAGAGAGTCCCCGAGGATCGCCACGTCGTTAGACGCTCCCAACAGGAAGGCGCCGCCAAACAGGTACACCATCACTGGGAGGTTGGTGGACACTGGAGACAGAGAGAAAAATATAGATACAAATAATAAACAATAATAATAATGATAAAATAACGATGATAATAAAATAATTCAGCAGTGACCCAGGTTCATTAATCAGTTTTATTTTAAAATTTTAAAAGAGCTGAAAATTTGTGTCCCGTCAGTCAAGAACATAAATTACCCATAATTCCATGGGTCGACTGAACTTTTTAAAACACAGTGAAATCATGATTATATCTGAATATTATTGATTAATATCAAGTTTATGAGCTGAAGTGAAAACAGTTCAATGACTCACAAACTGATTTATTATGAAAGGAAAGATTGATTTCCTGTTGAAAGTTAACACGTAGAAAATAATCACAGGTTCAATGCTGGTAAAAATCCTTCAGCCCCACAGCGAGCTGCAGACTTTCACAATAAAAGCTTGTAAGAAGACATCAAGTGTGTGTGTGTGTGTGTGTGTGTGTGTGTGTGTGTGACCTACATGATCGTCCCTGTGGAACAAAGATGTTCAGGTAGAGACAGTCCTCGCTGCCCTGGGTTTTTGTCTGCAGCAGCGTCACCTGCAGGCAGCGATCCCGATACTTTGTGGCCTTCAGGATTCCTGGAAACAACAGACACAATAGACACTGTGACAGGAAGTCACTGTTTCATGCTCAGTTTCTAATGCGTCCACACAGGTACACGAGTCAGTCAGGGTCATGTGACCCTGAGGGTCACCTGCAGAGAAGAACCCATGTACCAGACTTACAGTCATGACCGCCCCTCGCTGTATTGAACATGCAGACTACCCATAATCCATTTATCAGTCAGTGGTGGCCAGTGTACTCGTTTATGCTGCAGTCTGCTGGGGCAGCAGCATGTCAGACCCCAACACAAGGAGACTGGAAAAGCTGGTCAAAGAGGCTGGGTCTGTGCCGCAGGACGCATGCAATGTAAGATGGAGGCCATCTTAGACAATACAACCATCCTCTCCACAACAATCTGGCAGGACAGAGAAGCAGCTGCAGCAAACGTCTCATCTCACTGCAGAACAGAGAGGTTCAGGAGATCCTTTTCTCCCACTGCCATCAGGCTGTAGAACACCTCAGCCAGAGGAAGTGGACTCATCTAATTATTACTGTTTTTTTATTTTTAACTGTTTTTATTACTATTATTATTATCATCAACAATGAGCTAATGGACACATGAATTTCCCCTAGGGGATAAATAAAGTATCTATCTATCTATCTATCTATCTATCTATCTATCTATCTATCTATCTATCTATCTATCTAATCCAGCTGTCTCTCTCAGCGTCATAGCTTCCTGCCACAGAGTGATCAGTGTTGTCTGAGGTTGTTCTGATGTTCACACTGATATTAAAGTTGTATAAGCTCAAAGGTCCACTTATTATGGTCCACGAGCTCCATCTCATGAGGTTGCTGATGAAGACAGTGAGATGCAGTCGAAAGCTCTGGAAAGCTGAGGTTCTGTGTTTTGAGCTCTGACTGAAGCCAGAGGAAGAGTTAAAGGAACCACACCTATCAGCTCTGTTGAGTTTATCTTAAAACACTACACTACCCATGAGCCCCAGAGGCTGTCGCTATGGAGACAACTCCATTCATATCCTGAACCAAACTCCACAGCTGCTGAGTTGATCCAAAGGTTAAAAGTTGACCTCTAACTTCACAGCAACAGAGGCTGATTGGACGATAGTAACAGAGAATTCTGGGATTGGTAGTTGTCATGGTTACAGGCTGGATGAATGAATGAAGTGTGCGCTGTGTTTGTGTGAGTTACCGCTCCATCCAGGATGAGGTTTTGGCTTCTCGAACTTTCCGGGGACGTCAGCGAAGGGGATTCCTTTAAAGACGTCGACGGTCCTGAAGAATCCCATCCTGTGGCTCTTCCCCTCCACCTGCCCCCCTTCCGTCTGCACCACCCCCAGCTACACACACACACACACACACACACACACACACACACACAC